TTTTTTGTTACCCAAATTTTATTCATAATTACGAGAAAGGTGATGTGATGATATGATTGATAACGGGATAAAGTAGGGTCACCCACGACTTTCTTGTCTCCGTTTTTGTACCATATTTTAATTCTGTGATTAAATTCTTAGTAAATAAATGTAGTAATATGAAAACAATATTTTTAGTTATATATTTGTATAGATTGAAATTGAGTAATACTTTTTTATTAATATATATTTTATAATCAAAACAACTCGGACGTCAAACGGGATCAAGTTTGAGAATTAAATTTTGTCTTTCCCCCCGTTTTGAGAAGGAAAAAAAAAAGTAAATCTAACTTTTGGTTGTCTAGACTTTTAGATTTGATTATTTAAAAATTTTAAGTGTCTATTTTAATATTTAAATCTTTAAAAGTTTTGGTATTTTATTTCTGCAATTTATTAAAGAATAATGACTCCAGAGATTGTTACGACTAAAATAGAATTTTTTAAAGTTTGTATTTATAATTCTAAGGGTTGTTTTAATTAAATCGAGAAATTTGCGATCCACTAAAATAAAAAATATATAGGTGTTTAGTCATCCTCATCTTTATACTGATTTTTAATAAAATTCGACTATTTTTCTCTCTAAAATCGTAATATTAAAATAAAATCGAGAAATCTATATTATTAACGCAAAGACCGAGTCTTTCCTTAAATGTGAAACTCCAAGCTCGAGCGCTGCCAGCCATACACGTGTCCTGTATGCCAAGTTTCAAGATTGCGTGGCATTTGCTACATTTACGCAGGTTGACAAATGGGCGCTCATCACTTTATCACAATCCATCATTTATGCCTTCGCAACAGAAAAAAGAAACAAGATCCATCATTTATGATTTATCCCTAATTAAATTATTTTTATTACACGTGGCACCATTTTAGTGGTCTCCTCGAGTAGAGTGTGCAAAACCCAAATATTTAAGTAGACTATTATCTAAATAATATTTATAATTATACGTGGCACCTTCCTTAAGACATTGCTCGAGAAGACCCATCACTGTTCAGTACAGCTCAGTAGTACACGTGGCACCATTGACGACGGTTCTCGACTGTGGAGTAAAATCCCACAACGTCGGGGCCTTGTTTAAATGCCAATTATTTATCCCATATCATAATAATCTATGATCTTCAATTTTAATTTATTATTATATGGACATCCTACCTATAAAAACACCGGGCAAGGCTTTAATGAAATAAATAAATGAAAGCTTAATGCGATTAGATTGATCGGTATTTATACTCGACTGTGACCCATTACTTTATATTTCTTTCGTGTAAGAAAAAAAATTATGAATATACCWTTTTATGAGGGGAARAGAACTAAGAAGGGTCTATTTTTCTGTTAAAAATTATATGTATATAGAAATAACAAGTAATATAATAAATGATAATTTCGTAATAATTTTTGAACTAAACTTATAGGGTATTGAGATCGTGATGGTGAAGTGGAGTAGTGGTCTGAAAGGAGAAATAAGGAGTGCAAATAGTCAAAGAAAGGGTGTGGCCATAATTGAAATGGAAGATCATCAAATGGTCACATCTAAGTAGTTAAGAATCACAAATTTTGTTGACTTAAATGCAACCACATTCATATTCCAACTTTAATGTGTTTACGATCTTATATTTATCAATTTAAATCTAATTTTAATAGATTAGCTATTTTGATTGAGAATTAGTCAATAAGATTTCACCTTTTAACATTTTTTTTCTAATTTATGCTTACAGGAGTTTCACCCTTCTTCCTTCCATAATTCCATTTGTGAGATTATGTAKGTGCAAAATACACACTTCTATCACTAGATATTGATATGAGATAAAAGAGATAATACTATTTAAACATTATTTTGACGATAATCACTAATAAATAAATCATAATTTGTAATGAAACACTAACGATTATCCGTGTCGTATTAAGATTTATTTCTAGATACACTATCCAATGTTATTCGGTCCAAAAGTCTCGACATTAACATTATTTTTATACACACATCTTTTTCAGTAGTTGTAAAGCAAACCCATGTGAAACCTTTGGGTCGTCTCGTGAAGAAAAAGTTAAAAAGCGTATGATAGATCTAGATTTGAAATGAAAGAACCAAAAAAATTGACGTAGAGAAGTTTTACCAAGAGAATGAAGAAGAATTAGAATTGTTTGTTTGTACAAATGAATGGGATGAGAATTTATTAGAGAAAGGCCAATAGAGTAGAAACAGTCTATTTTGTACACATCTCACTCTAGAAATTAATGATATATAAATAGAGAGTTTGTGTGTTAGAGTGACATATACGTATAAATATATTCTTCATATATACATGCACGGGAAGATGACGCGTGGCTTTAGTTTTGGAAATGTCTTCATCAACTTCTCCGGCCAATAAATAATAATCAAATCCTAATGCCCTATTTTCCCGAGAGGAAAAGTTTGTGTTTAATTTGTATTTATTTGGTTCAAATAGTTGAACACCCAAATCCCACGTACTCTATACAATTTTTTTTCAACACACACGTTTGGTTTACTAGAATTTTCACCCGATATCCGACATCTTTAAATGACTTATTTGATCAGTTAAGAATGTTATAAAGATATTTGACAATTAAGAAAAGCTAAAGATATACAACACAATTGTTATTAAAAAAAGTTATAATTTCAAAACCTATCGATGAGTTTATATAAATTTAGATRTTTATCTTATAGACATATTTAAGAACACTACAAAAGTAAAACTTTCTCATACACTGATGTTGAAATTCATATCATGTGTAAGTAGAGCTCATGATGTGAAGAATACTTTTTTTTAGCAAAATATATGCGATTACTTTTTTTTTATATATTATTCTAATGCAGTATTCAAACACATACATTAATTCTTGTGAGTTTGATATATATGGGATTAAATGATAGGTGTGTGATAAGGTGGGATACTTTGTCAACTTGAACATAACTCAACTGATTAAGATATCTATCTACCGTACAAAAATCATGAGTTTGAATCCTATCTCCATAAATCATTGCCACTGTACTATCTCTTAAGAACACTTGATTATCTACGATAGAATGCAAAAAAAGGAGGAGGAACAACGATGTAAAGAATTATATTATCTTTTTGAAAAGAAAAAACCAAAATCAGCAAACGAAAATTAACGTTAATGGCCATTATAACAAGGGTAGAGGGAAGCTAACTTTATTTTGAGAAAAAAAAAAATGATAGTAATCAACGTAATAATTAACGTATAATTCTTAACTTTTATCCTAAAAGACAAACAATTAGGTTTGTGTTTTGATTTATTTGTTTAAGATATTGCTGTTGACATTCCCCTCAAATGTCATGTCGTGAGTTTAGTCTTTTTTAAGTAGATTAGTTAGCAAAGTCCCAAGCGTAAATTATTATTTGGGAAAATTACAAATTATACCATTATGGTTTGCGTATTTTATAAATTGTATTTTTAAAATTAATTGTATTATCGAATTATAAGCACTAACGTGCAACGTCCTTGGATAAAATTCGGATGAGATGACATATTTTCTAATAGTTAATTGACATATTATAAATTTTGAGGGACTCAACTATTCCTTTTAAATCTAATTATTCACACTCTAACTTCATTTGTATTTAAAAATAAACAAAAGAATCCAAAATCTAAAAGATTAATTAAAATTATTTAAAATTCAAAGACTGTAGATATATACCATGCTTAAAATATAGGGACATAAGTTATCATTTAACTTAATATCAGCATCAACTTTATAATTTAATGAGCTATGAAAAAATTTATCCTATGATTTAATATTCACTCCAAATAATGTATGAAAATTTCAACAAAGTAGTTAGACTACAAATCATGGAAGAAATCTGAATTTGACGATTCCATTAAAGACTCGAATGATCTACTAAGAATCACTTCTTTTTTTTTTCATGAAAATGAAAAAAAAAAAAACAAAGAATAGTTTGGAGTTATGAATGTTGATTTGAGTACTGTATGGGAGGAGTGGTCCAAGGGAGGCCGGCCCCCACGTCTCCTTCACTTCACACATATTCTTTCTGATCAAATATGATCAACGGTGGAGGTCTCACCACGTAACTGATCAAGTCCAAATCACAATTACTCTCACGTCCCCACGTGTCATAAAATTCAAAAGATGTTTGAACCCAACAAGCTTTGTTTTCGTACTTCCATGCCCATACATCATTCTCAGTGATAATTTCCATTATCAAATTTAAGTTTCATTTTCTCCGTTATTATTTTCTATATTTTAAAATTTGGAATTTGAAACTTTAAAATACAAAATAAAAAAAACAAAAACTTTGATTATACTATTTTATTTTATGTTATAACATCATTTTATCTTGGTTAAACTTTTTTCACTAAATTATGAACTTCTCTTCTCTCGAGAAAAATGTGAATTATAAACTTTAAAAAATATAAAGTTTAATATATGATAAATTATATAACACTGTAAACCGTTATTTCTACAAAATTTATAACATATATATTAATAAATAAATYAATATTATTTTTTTATTGAAATATATATTATGTTGGTAACCATCATTAGTTTACAAATATATTACTAAACATGTTGAATAAATTTTTAAAATTGTGATTTAATCTACCAATTAAACACAAATCTCAAAACACTRAAAAGATAGAATACAACCATATTTTTCATTTTTCATTTTTTARGAGTGCTTTCAAAATTATGCAAAAATTTTGAAAACAACGTAAGCAAATTTTATATATCATTCATATTTCTAGGTTTTTGACAAAAACATATAGATAAAAGTATTAGTTCATCATGTTTGACTTATAAAAGGGTTACCAAATATATATATATATATATATATATTTTTTTTTTAATAAAAACGAAACAACAAGAAAGATGAAAGAAGAAAATGTTATCCAACACAATTGTGATTTTCTTCGCACATATATCAACAACTATCTAATTTAGCTTGCAATAAAAATGATCATTTAGTTACATTAAAAAACAAATTTGCTGTTTCTTTTTTTATATTAAAAAACACATTTTGCTTTTCCGACTAATAATTTGATGAATAAACTTTAATTAGTACATAACATTTTAATTTCGTTAATTTAAAATTTGTAATAATTTGTATTCAAGTCTCTATTGCGCTTTAAATGCCACACGAGTTTGACTTTGTAACCACTTGAATTACACTCCCTAACTCATCATCTGTTTTTARCACACATGCCTTATGGTTTTGTATAGGTGGGATTGAAGTGGCTGATTTCAATAGGGTTAGGGTTGTACAATTATATATATTTGAAACAAATTATGTGGTAGATGAGCTAGCATTTAATARTTAGATGTTCATGTTCCACACACAAGAACAAACCCATTTTGAAGTTAAAACACAACAAAAGAACTCATGATAGACGAAATTGGTTAAAGGGGTTAATCCATACAAAATATTCCTTGTGAAATTCGTTGCCAATTGTTGCATGGGGAAGTTGAAAGGCCTAAACTTGAAAACAAACAGAGTCTCACACAGCGCCACCTTCTCGAATTACGAGGTTTAAAGGAGGAAAAAAAAACCCTTGTGGCGAAGGAAAGACAGTTCCCAACATTGTAAAGTCCGAAAAGAAAAACAAACTCACTAAATAAAGGTMGTCAATTGTGAGTTGAATTTTTTGGTTTGTTGTGTGCCTGGCCACATTGAATGCAATTCGGCCTTRTGAGTGCGAGGGTTGACTTTTTGGTATCAAACAGTAAATGCTGATTGCTGTACCGTTTGACTCTTTTTAGTTTTTAGTGAACAACAAAACCAAAACCATCTCTCCATCTAATTCGGTCAGCGAGGTCGTCTTCCCCTCCACAGCTCAATATATATAAATCTCTACTTCTACACAACCCTGAATAATAACAAATTTTTTGCCTTTTCATCTTCTCCATATTTCCTTTTTACATCACCCCACCAAAAATATACATGATCCTTTACAGATCATAGAGAAACAAGAACAAAAGGCTCAACTAAAGTGGGAGATCGATGATGGGAAGGCCACCATGCTGTGACAAAGTGGGGGTGAAGAAAGGGCCATGGACTCCGGAGGAAGATATCATCTTGGTTTCCTACATTCAAGAACATGGGCCTGGGAATTGGAGATCTGTCCCAACCAACACTGGTAATTAATTTCAATTTCCTTCTTCTTTCTAAAGTTTGGATTTTTTTTTTGTTTGAGTAGGTTTCAGCATTAAATTTGTGTAATTAATTTGTTACCTACCCTTTTCTGAACCGCCTTGGGTTTTCAGTTTCACCTTTTTCACATCTGATTTTGTAAATTTTCAGGCTTGCTTAGATGCAGCAAGAGCTGCAGACTCCGATGGACTAATTACCTCCGGCCGGGGATCAAGCGTGGCAACTTCACAGATCACGAGGAGAAGATGATAATCCACCTCCAAGCTCTTTTGGGCAATAGGTAACCAAACAAAACTCTCTCATCTCTTTTAATTTTCAAATTTTTGGATTCAGCGTGATTTAACATACACCGAATTGAATGGTGTGTGGCGCAGATGGGCGGCCATAGCCTCGTACCTTCCACAACGGACGGACAACGACATAAAGAATTACTGGAACACCCACTTGAAGAAGAAGCTGAAGAAGCTGCAATCCGAAGGAGGACAAGATCGGTGCACAGCATCGTCACTCACAAAGTCAAAGGGGCAGTGGGAAAGAAGGCTGCAGACAGACATTCACACAGCAAAGCGAGCCTTGTGTGAAGCCCTGTCCCTGGACAAGACAACCTCGTACTACGACATCATGGGTGAATCAAAAACCCCCACCAACAGCAATCTCCAAACCCCAATAACCACTGCTACTTACGCATCTAGTGCTGAAAATATCGCCCGGTTGCTGGAGAATTGGATGAAAAAATCACCAAAATCATCACAAACCACGACCACACAACTCTCTGTGACAGCCAGCGAGGGTTCACACAGTGCCACAAACACAACCTCACCAGAGCCCAATTTGGATTATCACTCCAGCTTCATCAGTTTCAACAATACTAACTACTCCTCTTCAACGCCCAACCAAGTCCCTCTTACTTTGCTGGAGAAGTGGCTGTTCGACGATGCTGCTTTGGCTCATGTTCCAGATCACGACCTAATTAGTGTCTCATTAGAGCCCGAAACTGAAGGGGGTTTGTTTTAATTAGGGGGCTTTTTGTTGTTTTGTGTGCTTAAATTAGCAATGTCGTCAATAGAGCTTCCTTGTGTGGACTTCAACACACGAGGAAACGAACGAACCAAACACTTTTCACACTATTCCTGCGGTTTGAAACAGATCAAAAGTGTAAATTATAAGTAAAAACTTTGTATGTATGTATATATATATATAAATATATATATGTCACATATACATAAATATTATGTGCTTTATATATCTATATATATATGTGGTAATAAAAATCATATATTATTTCTCCCCGACCTTGATCCAATCCTCGATCATATATGTAGCTAAATTAGGAAATAAAAATTAGGGTTAAACTTAGATGCTTAAACTGATTTAATTTGGAGCTAGTTTGGAAACTTGAATACATCTATGGGGATGTCTGTTTTCTTACTTTCTTTGTTAAATGCGATAGGTATCAAAAGCTTAATTAAAGAACTATGTTTTGAAATTGAGATGATGCAACTAACTTTGACTTTATATGATATGTATGGGAATATCGTTTAAACTTCTCTCGATTAAGTTTCCGATGGTAATAAAGATGGGAATATCGTTTAAACTTCTCTCGATTAAGTTTCCGATGGTAATAAAGGTCTAAAAGGTTGTAGGTTCGTGCTTCACATCTTTTTTTATGTATTTATCGTATATTTTCATCATGTAGATAGATTATTTCGCATTAGGTAAGATAATAAATAGAAAATCAATACTGTATAATTATTAAGACAATAATTTTGCAGAGGTCATAAAATGAATTGATCAAACTATATAAAGTCTCAACTTTTGAAATGGAACCATTATTAGTATCATATTAATGATCGTATTCAGCTTCTTCCGCACCCATTTGAAATGATAACGTCTTATTAATTAAACCAATTAAATTATTAGTGGACTTAAATGACCGAATTAATACATCTTACTCGTCAAATTCCCATATATTATGGATAAACGCGTCATGATGCTGGCCAGTTGAGAAGAACTTTGTACGTGACGAGGAGCAAGAATCATGTTTTTTCATATTAATTAGAAATTTGGCCTTATGTACTCTTTTTACCCTATTTGACTCCCTTGTTTAAGAAGCCTAGATTTGAGAAATTTAAATCTATAGAGCTCATGGATTCAAAAGCTCTGAATTTATCAACACTTCAGTTGGTAGGATTGTGATTAGTAGAAAAATAAGTTTGAGCTCATGTCATCGATCGATAAGATTATGATCTTGTCATTACGAATTAGTCAAATTCATATGATAGATAAACATGTAAGAACAAACACATAGTAATTAATTTGTAGTGTTTTGTTTTTTTACAAGGGAATGTTATCGATGCTCATCAATGTCTCTTTTTCCAACCTCTGAAATCATTACATTTACATATATTCCCTAAAACCGCTCCATATATGTGTTTGTTTAATTCTGTGGATGAGGAATTGCCTTGGAAATCTGGAAACTGAAACAGGCCCTCTTAAATGCAATGCTCTCGCTCTCATATTATACCAATGCCCAAGAGTTTGCCAATTGCCATTTTTCAACCGAATTAAACTTTGGCTGAAGAAAGGCAGCGCAATTGGATTGGATTTTACCATAAACTCTTTCACACATTGAAACTTTATGGTATAAAGGAAGATTGGCTTTAATTACGCCAACTTGGTCTATCTCCTAAAGTTTTGTGTATTTATTTATCACGATTGTCGATGAGGGCAGATTTTGAAAACGTCATAAGAATTTCATATCATAATTAAAAACCCCAACTTTGTAGTTTGCAGAATGTCAACCACTGCGGCCACCCTTTTTTATATTGCATTTTGTTATTTTCTCTGTGGACCATATGAACACACAACACAACCCATGTCTTTAAGTTTGAGCC